AGAGTGGTTAATTTCATATATTCATGTCGTAGAGGTGTGGAGGAGCACCTACCACTGAAGGCATTTGACAACCACGTCGAACTAAAAGTCGAACAGATGGTCCACCATTTCTTATAATTTCGATAGCTTCTGTATGTGTCATATTTTTAGTATTAATTCCATTTATTTCAATTATTTGATCGCCGACCTAAATTTATATTAAAATATCATCATTTATATATAATCACATTCTGATAATATTATATTTATATTATATTTACTCTTAATCGATTATCAATAGATGCTGGACCATTTTCTGCAATTTGTAAAACAATAATGGCATATTTTGAAATTCACGTCCTCCACGAATACTAAAACCAAATCCTCTAGTTCCACGAGTTAATTCAACAGCATGATATTGTCCTCCATCTCCATCACATGTTGGTTCATCCTGAAATTATTTATAAAACTATATTTATTATATATTATATATTATATTATATATTAGGATTTAATTACAAATTATTTTAGAGTTAAGCAATACCTTTTGAGATAGAGATGTATTACTACAACAATCATCAAGAGGGTAACCAATTGTTAATGTAACAGAATAACCTGAGTCTTTAATTAAATTCACAATATCTTTATGACAAACATTTGTAATATCTACATGATTAACGGCAAGAATATGATCGCCAACATTTAATCGCCCGCATCTTTCGGCGGGTGAACCTTCAATTATTCTACCTATCGTCGAACCAGCTTTATTAACTGAAGAAATGATAACAAAACCAAAACCTTCATTTTCCATTCTAGTGACCGTTACATCATAAGGATATTGAAGATTCATCTGTCTATTATATGACGTTTGAAGATTTTCTGAAAGATGTTCTTGGGTATTAATTCGGCGACGAATTCCCAAAGTGACTCTACCATTCTGAGCAGCGGCTATCATTAATTGTACAACATGGTGATGTGACGAATTCATAACACTCTCACCATCAACAGACATAATGAGATCACCTGTATTTAATCTATTATCTAAATCTGCTGCTCCACCAGGTACTATATGTCCAACTGAAACCTGCTGACAATTACATTATCAATATTTTTGATTTCCTTTAATTAAAGTATAAGCAACTTTCCAACTCACTTGAGATCCTTCCTCAGTACCACCAACTATTCTAAATCCAAATCCTGTATCTTGTCTTATTAAAGTTACTAAAGTTTCTATCCATTCTATATCAGGCACGATCGGACATACTAATTCGTTGCTATATTGAGGATATCTAAAATATGAAAATTAATTTTATATTAGAAAATAGATTGAAATAGAAAATTAATGAATCCATATTATCTACCGTGATATCGAACTGGAATGTGGTTGTTCATGCTCAAAACTAGTAGTCTCTTTTCGTTTATCCCATATTTCACCAGTATCAACATTTTGTTCTTGACCAATGGAATATACATTATAATCTTGTTCACTATACTGAGAATGTGATTGCGATGTATATAAATCTTTATAATAGTCTGAATGTAAGCATCCATTCTGTTTTAACATATTATCATGGTGAGGTATATCAATAGAATATACATCATTATTTATGTTCAATTTTTCATTTGTAACCCAATCTCTTTTTGTACCATTTCTTATAGAATCATCATCTAAATTTGTCATTGTAACAAAATTATCAGATAAATTTGTAATATTTGCTTTATATGGATCATTATAATATATGTTATGTGTATATTCTGAATACTTGTATCGATTATCAAGTGGATTTAATTCATTTTCGTTTTGTTCATTCCAATTTGATCTGATTGCACTAGATGGAGATTTTGGACGATTTCTAGTATCAATAAGTGGAGTTTTTGGTCGATTTGGTACAACAGTTTTTGTTTGAGTGCTATAAATATCAGCTGTTGGTGTTTTACTTCTAAAAAAATCTTGTGAATTTTTTTCTTTCTTTTCGTTTGATTTTGATGTTGTTCTTTGTACATGTATCAGTGCTTCTTCATTACGAGAACAATCTTTTAAAACTTGTACTACTTCTGAATGACACATATTTCTCACATTAATATCATTTATATTAACTAAAATGTCACCTTCCATTAAATTTTTACAACGTTGACGATCTAAAATCTTTTTAACTTTCTGACCATGAGCAGAATCTGCTATTGTAAATCCAAATCCCATAGTACCCTTCACAATCGCAATACTGAGAAATTCTGGTTTGGAAGACGTTGATGAATCTTTACAGTCATTTAAGTCACTGTTTTCAGATAATAAAATATCTGTACTACTAGGTCTTTTAATTGTATTAATCTTATCCGAAATACAAAGATCTGGCATTGAATTGACAGAAGTTGTGGCAAGATTTTCACCATTTTGAAGATTATGTACTGGCAAGAATGTAGAATCCAGAAAATTGAAACGACTATTACTTTGCAAAGCAGGATCCAAATCCATATATAATCTAGGATCTTCTGTTAAAATATCTGAGAAAATAAAATTTATTCTTCTAACAAAAATATATTATTATTTAATAAGATTTTTACCTGGAGTATTTACAGCAATAGTTGTAACCACTTCTGTGTTTGGGTCATTTGGATCAAATGGTAATGGATAACCACGACAAACTTCTAATGTAACAGTTTCACCACTGCTAATTGATTTGAAAACACTTACCATTTCATTATGTGTAAAACCCAGAACACATGTATCATTAACATAGACTAACACATCTCCTGTAATGAAATTTCAAATTAAAAGAATCCAATAATAAAAAACAATGATTTTATATTACCTGTTTGCAATTTTCCATCTAACCATGCTGGACCATTTGGTACAACACTTTTAATTTGTAAAAATTCTTCCACTGAATCATCTCCACCAACAATTGTAAATCCCAATCCTCTTGTACTTTTTATTAAAGTTGTTCTTATTTTTTGGCCTTTTAATTTGTCAGGATTTCTTGTAAAATTAGGACTCTTTCTTTCTCCTAAATTTTGTTGTGCCCGTTTGGCTTGCAATACAGGATTTTCATATTGAGTTCTACGATTTACATGATCAATGAAATATGTACCATAGAGAGTATCATCTATTTTTTCCCAACCATAAGGTAATTCATCATCTAAACATTCTTCAAGTGATCTTTTTTGAAATTTAGATAAACGTGGATCTAACCAGTGAGAAGTACCTGTATTATGACTATAAAATAATTATATTTTATATATATATATAAATATATAATATAATAATATATAATATATATAAAACAAGTACAATACAATTTATACTCAATAGTTTAAAAAATTTATGTTATACATACTCTATAAAATAAACTTCTCCTGTGTCTGTATAAGCTTTTTCCCAATTTGGTGGTAAAGGTCCTAACTGATCTTCTGAAGCTTGAGTACGATTTTTATTGTTTTGTTCCTGATTAGATATTCCTGTATTTTGTTCAGAACCTGAATTATACAAATATGTTGGTGGAATACGATGATTAGTTTCATCATTTCCACTAATTGCTAATACCTCTTTATCCATACTTTCTCCTGAAATTACATATATCATAGCAATAATAAAAATATATTTAATAAATATATAATAAAAATATATTTAGAAATAATAAATAATAATTTTTATACCGTCATTAGTATTATCAATAGATGTTGCATCTTCTGTTCTTGTAGCCATTTTATAATTTTTTTAATTCCTTAATACCCTATTAAATAATACAAAAATTAAGTATGAACAATTTCATTTGCATTATGTTAATATTTTTAAAATTTATTAGTTTTAAATATAATATTTTGTAATATAATTAATAATAAATTAAATAATAAACAAAATAAAAAAAATAGTATAAATAATATGGTAACAAAATAGTATAAATAATATGGTAACAAAATACGAAATATAATAAAAATTTCATAGAAATGAAATCAGTATCAGTAATAAACATAGTATTAAAATTAAAAATTATTCACGAATTATGACATATTTTACAATCAACATTTTAAAATATTTTTTATTTCTCTAGAATTATTTACTGGCAGTTACTAATCACAGTATCTCCAGATTGGCAGTATTCAAATAACCGAAAATTATTTTATCAATTAATTCAAACATTTGACAGATAAGGAAAACAAAAACGTTGACAATGAAACGTAGCTGACTTCTTGACACTGTCGTTTAAATGCCGATATTGATACGATATTTAAGATCCTATCGGACAGGTGTTCGTAGTAAAATTACATAAAGCTAAAGAGGAACACGACACACGGCGGACGTGAATGCATTCTTACGAATGCATTCACCCGAGAGAGTCTGTGCGTAGCCCACATATCGCGCATCATTGAATGCAACTTTCTATCTAGAAAAGTAACGTTGGTTAATCTCGACGTAAATAAAACTTCTTGTCACGGTGATTCAGTAAGGATTTCTACTTTTTTTTGGTATAACGACATATTACTTTCAATATCTTTCTACAATATTAATAAACATAATTGAGCTATGAAATTCACCAAGTAGAAAATAACGATAGTACGAACTAGAAAAGTATATAATTTGTAGATATTTTTTTCATCAAAGTCTACTTACATTGATTTTTTTCGATATAATTCCCGATTGATTCAATCATCGTGGTTCAGCCATAAAAACAGGCTGAAATATTTCAACACTGAATCACTTCGGGATCGAGGAAATACTCATCATTTCGAAATGATAATGGAGCGATATGTACTCACGTTTATCACAGATCTACATCACGTATTGCACCGCACGCAACTGAGGCATTTAACTAACGTCTATGTTCAGATACACCTTGCGGTTCAATCATGCACTAGTACATGGCGCGAAATTCAATCACGAAATATATTCAGAAAAATTCAACTTATATTAAGAAAATGTACAAAATATGATATATATATATATAATATAAAATAATATAAATTAAAAATATTTACATACATATATATATTAAAATATATATTTTTTATTATATAAAATATAAAATGTTCATTTCGAAAAATTCCGAAAAAGATATCATTTCAAAATTGAATAAAATTGTAATCATCGATGATTTTATATCTCTTTTCCCGATAGTGTACCAAGTCATCCAAGAAAAGCAAACTGCTTTCGTTATGTAATTTTGTAAGAACTGGAGGTAATGGCGTTATTCCAGCAGTATTTGCAAGATCGTTGTAATAGCGATCCTGTTTAAATCCCATCATATGAAAATGTTTCTTTTGCAAACCCTCTTTTTTGCGACTTTCCAATTCTTGCGTTTCTTCTTTCAGCATATCTGCTTTAGAAGGAAAGTCCTTTTTTCCCGACCAATATCGTAGGACGAAACGGACCTTCGATCAATAAATAGAATGACTCATATTAAAATAGTTCTTATGTACCTTATTATAATATTATTTTTTTTTAATCGCACCTGCAAATCGAACATGCTGAAGGCACAAACATAAAAGGGAAGACCAATCAACGCAAGGGTGGGATTTTCAATCGATATCAAATGCTTCCATAATGGTGTCACCATATTAGAATCTACCCGTACTCCACATTTTTCACTCAGAAAGGGGAAGCTATATTTATATCCTTTGATCAAAAAGAAAAAAATAATTAAGTTATTTTATAAAAAAATTAAATTGATAATTACCTGTACAATAAAATATCGCATCCACAGATTCATTAGTATCATCTTTAAAAAGAACACCGTGCTCGGTCAATTCTTTTACATCTGGTTTCTAAAAAATTGAAATAATTTTATATTTTTTAAACATTTATTTTTTATATTACATTTACATGCATAATTTACTTGAACAACATTGTCAGGAAATACAGTGCCTATGGGATCTTTCAGGTGATGACTTAAAATTACACGTTTTGCTTTCTTCGATATTTCCAAAGCTAAATCCATTCCTATTGTTTTTTTTATAAAAATGTTAAAAAAAAGCTATTTTTCTTATTAAAAAAATAAAAGATCACAAATAACGTTACCCGAAGGTCCGGCGCCAAGTACAACTATAGTTTTATCGGTAAAAATATCTGGCACCCTATAATCGTGGCTATGTAATTGTTCTCCTTGAAAAATTTGTTGACCTTTCAAATTTGGTATACTAGGTTCGAAGTAATGACCATTGCATATCATAACTGCATCAAATGATTCTTCTAAAATGATATTTTTTTTTAAATCTTTCACTTTGATCATCCATTTTCGATCCCCGATCGATGGTTCCACTAATTCGACATTATGAAGAAACTGAAAAAAAACACAAATATAATATCTAATATTAAATATAATATATTCTTATATCTATAAATAATATATAGTACTTGGATGTACTGGCGGAGATTAAAATGATCACAATATGAATTTAGGAATTCAAGTATTTGCGTTCGAGTCAAGTAACTGTCAGGATTATCTGGAACAGGATAATCAGGATATCCCATCACTTCTTTTGGAAGATTTGTTCTGTAATAAATAAACAAATATTAAATATATTATTAAAAAATAATATAACAACATATTAAATATATCTTGGACAAGATAAATAAATAATTTTTTCAATTTCTTTTTATAATTGACTTGCCTTAAATTTTTGTACATGCTAGTGTGTATTGGTAAACCGTATCGATCTAAACCTGTTTCTTCCCTGTAAACCCATGTACCGCCTACTTGATCTGTTTTTTCGTAACATATTACTTGAGTGTCATATGTGTCAGAAGTACAATGTCGTAGAGCAGCAAGACCAGCAGATCCAGCACCGATCACGGCGATCTTCATATTTAAGAATTAAAAACTGTAAATTTTATGAACTTGTTATTAAAAATTCTTACAATTTCTTAAATATTTTAAGAGAATTTTTATCTCAGTTTCAATTATTATTCAATAATAATTGAATAGTAATAAAAAAAAATCTATTCAACTTAAGTGTTACTTATAATTTTTAAAAATGAATATATAAATTCAATCGATATTCCTGTGATGTACGTATACACGATCAAATTACAAATGGGAAAGGTGCAACGATTGAAAGTTGTACCAACGCGAACATTCCTTCTTTTTTTCTCTTATAGAACACTTTCCTTATTACCGCGTGACTTTCCTGCGTTGGACAGCAAAACTATATTGTAGCTCAATAAATATGAAGAACTTGGAACAGAATAGAAAAAGCAATAATTTTTTCCATAAATTTCTCATATATATATTATTATTACATATTTAACAAGAAAACAAACAGAAAGTGTAATATGTGTTTCCAAATTAATTTTTATTCAATGAAATTTGAATAATATTAATTAATATAGTATACTCACAAGTAACAAGAAAATAATCGTGTAGAGTTGTTAGCAATATTGATGTATTATGATCAGTGAAGAAATACGAAATGACCAATCTTGAAATAATCAGTTGAAGTGTATCATTCGAAAAATGACTGTTACTGATAACAAGGTCATTGTGTTCTATACATTTCTATATAAGAGATACACATATAATACTACTATGAAAAATAATGAGTATCAGTAGCCTTGCACATGCCTTCTTTAGAAATCTGTCGATGCATTAACCAGAAATGGCTAATAAATTTTTAGAATTTCATTAATGTGCTATACTATATATATAATGAAAATTTTTATTATATATTGAATATACATGTATTAAAATTTTAATAAAATATATAGCAAAGATATTATAACGTAATAATTATATAAATATTAAATAGTAAAAAATAAATATACTTGATAATATGAAAATTATAATAAGATTTTTATAATAATTTTACTTCATAATTTCTTTTCTAATTACTTTATAATTATAATTAATATTTTATAATTTTTTAGATATTATTCTTATAATATATTTTTCATTTATATATATTTCCATTATAAATTTTTTTTCTTTTAATTTTTAATTTTCTTAGTAAATAAATAAATATTATATATTTTTTTAAATTTATAATTTAAATAATTTATTTTATTTTTTTGATCTTGTATCATAAAATTTCAAATATTTAAAGATATAAATATATAGATAAAAAAAATAAATACTGATAACAACATTCTTAACAAATCCTTTTAACATATTGCTGATGGATAAAATTCTAGAAAGTATATGTGACATACAAAATTTTTAAATTAATGTTATTCAAAATAATATTTTAAAAAATAATTTACAATATGTGATCTTTTCAAATATTTAAATTTCATTTATATGTGAAATTAAAAAATTAAATGGTGAAATACAATGAAATGTATATACGGATTAAATATGTTTTGTAGTAACAATCAAAATTTGAAGATATAAAAATAATTTATAAATTAATATTTTCTTTATAATCTTTCATTAAAGATATTATGAACTATATGATATTAAATATCTCTTGTCATTCGATAACAGTTAGTATTTGGACAATTAATTGCATGTTTTAAGAATGCTTTATAAGATAACAAATTACGAGAAATAGATTCGACAAACAATAATATTCAATAATAACACAAAACTTCTTCTTGACTTTATTGTCAGACTTTCATTTGTTTAAATTCCAAAGCTATCGTCACACGGTATTAAAATACTTGTATCATATCACAGGATATATTACATATTACAAGATCGTAATTTCATAGAAATACATTGTAAATATCTATATTTTTTATATTAAAAATTAAGATATATAATTTTGAAAGAGAAACGGTGAAAATACAATCAATTTAGAAGATCTCGTACTTCTGATTACGCGCCAAAAGCAAATATAGACAAAACGAGCAAGTAAAAAAAGAATAGAGATAGAAATAAAAATTGTGAAATCAGCGCCATCTCTTGAGTGCTGTACATAAAACTCAAATATAGAAAAGGAGAGTAAGTAATAAGAGAAAGATAAAAATAGAATAAGAATTGACTGTTAGTACCATCTCTTGAGTTCTAAAAAAAATGCTTTCTGAAAACATTCAAAAGATGGTACTAATAGTTAATTTTTATTCTATTTTATCTATTCTATTTTATCCTTTGGAGAGATATTTTATTATTCAAGAGATGGCGAGAATGGTCAATTCTTATTCTATCCTTTTTTTATTATTTATTTTATATATATAATTTCAATTACGGTATATTAAAAATAATGCTAATTGCATTTTTTTTCTATTTTTTTCTTTTTTCCATGATTTATTTTTCTTATTTATACTTTTTCTGAAAACTTTTATGTGCTAAAAAAAACAATGCATATCTAATTAAACTTTATTATTTTCTTTGTTTATTCTATTTATTAAAAAATTTTATTAAAAAAATTATTTTATTTTTTTCACTTTACTTAATATTAATAGATTTATAAATATATTGTATAAAGTGAATTATTTAATTTTATCACTGAACATCACGTTTATGTTTAATAATATCAAAAAATATTTCAGATAAAAGAATGTAGGCACTAAAATTTATATAAAAAAGAAATATATTTTGAAATTTTTAACATAAATTCTCTTACACTCTGGTAACAGCATTCTATTTACATATTTAATTATATATAATTATATATATAATAATTATTATTATTATATATATAATTATATATATAGATTTAATATTTATGCATTGTAAAGCCTGAAGATTAATTTTTAAACATGATCATGAAAAAAATTGAAATATTTAATATAAAGTTATTTTATATAAAATAAATATTTTTATTTATTTTTGAATAATTTTATATTTAAAAGATAGATTTTTAAATAAATGTTCATCAAATATTTGAACTTTGTTATATATACACAAGATTTTTAGAATTTTTTATAAAAAATGTACAGATTGTTCATTATAATCCAAATTACCGTTTAGAATAGAGTTCAGATTCCCATTTATTTTTATAGAGTACATATAATTGCATTGCAGTTCTTGCATCTTCTATTGAATTATGTTCCCCTGTTTGTATTTCTTTACCTAGTAATTCATGTGCTAGTTTCTTCAAACTAGGAGTATTTCCTCTAGATAATTGTCTGAAAGTTTTAAATCTAGAAGTATCTCGTAGATGTTTTCTTGGATGAGAAAGATATAATACATCAAAATCATGTTTTAATGCATGACCAATTAAAATGCGACCTCTTAAAATTTCTGCTACTTCTTTCTGAACAATCTCAAATTCTTCTCCATTTTGAAGATTATGAGGTCTAATTCCACTAACTTTAGTTCTATAATCTTGAACAGGTTCTCTTGGTTTTACATATTTATCATAAACACAGAAACCATGACGATTTACAATAGATACTCTAGCTAACATACTTTCAGTACCATCTCCTATACCTACCATTTCACAATCAATTGCTATTTGTTTTGTTAATTTCTTCTTACTTTCATCAAAAACTATTTCTTCATCGTTATGTGATATTATATGATCCACATTTAATATAGATGAATAATGCTTTTTTCTTGATTTCTGATGTGGTGATGATTTTTTTTTAACACTCTCTTTTCCAGAATCTGGATTTAATGATGGCGAATTAAATACTAAATTTCTAAACATTTCCCAATTTCGACCAGATGCATTACGCTCCGTATACGGAGTCATACGCTGAGTATTTTTATTATCCTTTTTATCCATAATTCGCTTACTAGCAGATTTCTTAGAAAAGCATTGCTTTGGCTGTTCTTCGTTTTTCCTAAAAAAAAAAAAAAAAAATTAATTGAAACATCATCATGGATAAATGTATTAAGTACTTATTTGTTTTTACATTTTAGGTTACCTCTCCTAACCTCTTCATTTAACACGTGTATAAAGACAAATAGTCATAATTAAGTAATCTAAAAGAAACAATACTTATCGAATAATAAAATATACTATATTTATATTTTGAACTAATTCAAAAATAAGTAAATTTTAAGTATAAATTATTATAAATTATTAAGTAATATGTCAACTTAAATATGGCGGCACAAATTCAAAAGACTTATATTTAGATATGGTTTCATTCTTTTTTTCTCGAATATATATAATTAAATAAAGATTGTATAAATCTATAAACAAAACTTATATTCAAAAGATCTTCATTTAATAATGTTATAAATCAAGAAAATATTTTAACACAAGAAAATGTATTCATTCGATATTTATTTTACGGGTACATATTTTCAAATAAGAGGAGGGGATAACTAAAAGCAACAGCTTCTATCTATTTGAATAATGTGAAAGTTTTCCTACCTTATAAGTAATACTATAACGATAAAAAACACTATAAAAATTAAAAGAATCATTATGCTAGAATAAATAGAAAATATCCTAGAGTTTACATTTGCCACATTTATACTGACAGATTGTTTTTCTCAAAAGCTTGCGTAGTTTAACGGTTACCTTGTATGAAATAATACTGCATATATTTCAATTGTGCGTAAATTTCTGAAAGTTTAAGGAAATGTATGATGATAGTAATAATACAAATAAAGATGCTTTTCCAGAACCTCGAAAAAAATTTTGGTTGGTAAGTTCTTAAATCTTATCAAAGTTGCTTAAAAAATGACGCGTGATTAACCTATATTAATTTAATTAATATTTAATGATATTAATTTTTTTGTTTTTTTTTTTAATTTTATCTATTAAACTTTTAATTTTCTTATGATTATTTTAATTAGCAGATTATTAATGATTTATTATTTTTTTATTATTATTTAATATTTTTTCATATTGTTTTTGTTTATGATAATAAAAGTGACATTTTCTAATGTTACGAATTAGCGAACAAGAAAACGACCAAAAAGTGATGCTATCAGTATCAGTTCAATGGACATATCTATTGAATCAGATGTAATAAAAAAGAAAAAGAGAAGAAGAATTACAGAAGTGGCCAGCAGCATTTTTTCCTCTTCTACTCTAAGTAGTAAACAAGGAAGTATTCATAGATCTTTCACAATTCAACCAAATGCAACAGACTTATCATTTATAAATAATGAAACAGATACAGGAACATTAAAAAAAAGTATAAAAATATTATTAAATATATCTTTGTTACATAATTTAGGAATATTCATTTAATTTAGTTTTATTTCTTAGACACAAGAAAAATATTGAAAATTCTAATAATTTTACACTTAGAAGTTGGGCAGTTGATGTAGCAAACACAAGTACTAAGGATAGACCTAATTATGTTCTAAACAGAAAAGAAGTAAAAAAACAAGAAGCAATTTATGAATTGTATTGTGGAGAAAATGTATTCATTAATGATTTATGTGTTCTCAAAGATTTTTATTATGAACCATTAATAAACAGTAATATTTTTACTCCTGATGAATTAAATATAATTTTTGGAGATATAACACATCTTATTGAAATACATAGTAGATTGAAAGATGAATTAATTGATTTAAGAGATAAATATGGATTTACAGAAACTGTTGGATCTACAATATTAAATTGGGTTAGTATTATAATCCATTCTTAATGTTTAATTAATATAATTAAATTGTTATTCAATTATTTTATTATAATTTTCAGATTCCAATATTAACAAAACCATATTTAGAAAGATGTAGAACACAAATATGGGCAAAACATTTATTAGATGAAAAAAGATTAACAAACAAACGATTTCAATCTTTTTTAAAAAAACGTTTAGAATCTCCACATTCTGTAGACTTATGGACTTATATAGATGTAGCAAGGTCAAGAATTGTTAAATATCCTTTATTAATTAAAGAAATGCTAAGGCATACTGCAGCAACACATATAGATCAAACATATTTAAAAGAAGCATATGATTTAATATGCAATCTACTTAAAAATATAGACAAAATTATGGGAGATGAGGAATGCAAGTTGGCTCAATCAAAAATTAATATAAAACCAGATTATGATCCTACCAAATGCATTGAAAATGCAACAGAATTAATTACTCAAGGACAACTTAAAGATATAAGGGGAATGGTAAGAATATTCTGTAAAATCATTTTATTAATTAAATAAATATTAAAAAATTTATAATTATGATTTTTAGAAATTTCAGTGCTTTCTTTTTGACACGGGTTTTGCAATAACTCGTGGTACAAGATCTATAAGTAAGAAGTATAACTTATTTTGTCCTGTCATACCTAAAGAACAGATTTGCATAAGTACAGATGAGAAATCTGATGTAACTTATGGATTTAAAATTGGAGATCATATTTTAATAACAGAAGATGACCATGGAAAAAGACACTGGATTGATTCATTCAATAAAATTTATAAATGCAGTATTAATTCACTAGAAAATGTAATTAATATCAATGAAAAGGAAAATGAAGAAATTTTGACACCATCAAAAATAAATCGATCCTCTAGATTGTCTATAAATAAAATAAGTGAAAATCATCTTTCATTAACATTAAAGAGGAGTTTTTTAAAACGCAAACGTAGCAGCATTGGCTTTGTTTAACATTATAATATAATTTTAAATTTCATTTTGAATTATTTCGTTATATTCATACAATACTATATATAAATAAATATAAAGATTTAGGTCATCAAAAAAATATTATATTTAATCATAATAGGAATATTTTTTGTATTTTAAATTTGATTACTAAATTATTTCTCTTAATGTTTTAAATATTACATTCAATTTAAAACAATTTTGTTTATATCAACAAGTATGAGTACTTACCTATGTATTATTTACATATTTTGAAAAATATATTATAGGTGCTATAAAATTAAAAATATATAAATATATATATAAATGTATACATGCTAATGCACGAACTAAATATTATTTCTAACAAATATGTACAAATATTTTTGATATTAATGTAAATTAAAAAGAAATGTATCAATTGGTGTAAATGCAATTTATATGTAATTTTATATAAGTATGTACATTTATATTTAAAAATAAAATTATTTTTGTATGAATATCTTAAAACAAGCATATGAAAATCGGAAATTTATATTCAAATTTTATTAAATGCAATTCTAAATTTCATTCTAATAACATTTATAATAAAATAATTATCCATATATTTTATATTGTTTAAAATATTTATGATTTACTAGGTTTCATCGAGTTTCCATCCGGATAACGCTTTTTAAAGGCTTTAATAAGTTGAGGATCAATCAAATGAACTCCATCTACTTGATTACCTAATGTAATCCAATTAGGTTGAACATTATGTGGTCGACCAAATAATTCTATTTTTCTCGTTCCTGGGCTCATACGCTCAATAATTCCATAGATTTCATCAGGCTTGTGACTAGTTGCACGAACTTCAGCTACAATAACATCACTATCTAAACCTCGATTAATTCTTGGATTCCTTTCATACCGACCAAACAATGTTCTTTGCCATGATTTAACCAATGACCTGTCCTACCAGTTCTTATTATCCTTTGCAATTGATTAGTTTTTACCCATATGATTTCATCTACTCTTTCATATCCCCACAATTGTAAACATTCTCTACCAAGTTCCATTGCTCTGCCTGTTACCCATAAAAATAAAAGACCTTCATCTTGAAGAGCAGGTATACCTAATTGTCTCATTTCATCATCTGACATGGTACCATAAGGCAATTCCATGTGAATGTCCCATGGAGGATCAGCCATTATAACAGCAAATTTACCCAATACAGTCATATCAAGGTAACGTAAATCACATTGTATCCATTGTGGTGGATAAAGAGTCAATTCACTACCTAAAGATCCACTAGGAGCTGGACAAGAAGTATTATTACCATTTTTATTATCTATTGTTAAACCTTTATTCACTGTACTATTATTTGTATTATCTGTTTCATTTGATTCCTTTGGTTGAGTTGTTGGTCCATCTACTTCATAATGAACATATCTATATATAAAATATTTAAATAAAAACACAATTAATAATATTTTTTATAATTAAAATAAAATTGTTACATTTACAATACATACTTGCATGTATCCATATGAAAACAAGTATTGAGAAAACTACAGTCACCCAAGGATTCATCTGTATGACTTTGAATAATCTTTTTGAAATGAAGTTTCTTGCATTTTTCTGCAAATCCTGGTCCACCATTTAACTTAACACAATCTATTCGTGTACCATGAGGACAGAATTCCATTACTTGTGCTCCTCCTTGAGATCGAAATCTTTCAGCTAATGATTTCTCCTTGGATGTTTGCTTTGATAATAAATCTAAAATTTGTTCTCCAACCTTCTTATTTTCTTTCTCCCTAATAGTAGGCATAGATATAAGTGACATTATATCCTCTGCATTTTTCTTATCTAATTTAGGCTGTTTCTCTGCAGGTCCATAATCATTTAATTCAGATGCAGATGTTTCTGCACTTTCTGGATTTTCAGTATCATCTGATTGAGATTGATATGATGATTGTGATTCTGCCACCGATAATACTGTATATCCAAAGACACCATTTTCTGTTACTTCTTTAATTCTGAAAAAGTATTTAATTTCTAATTTTTTATATAAAGTGTTAACATGAAATAGTGCAGAAACTTACTAACTTAACAATATCTTGTGCTGCAAACTTTTCCAAAATTTTATGGATATCTGAAGAACACACATCTGCATTTAAATTTTTACGAAGTTGATCTATTAGTTCTGCAGATGTGATTGGTAAATTGGGTAATGATTCATGTAAGATGCATAATACATCTCTTTCATATTCATTATGATCAGAACGGTGTGAATGTCCTATTAAATCTAAAACATTCATTATATTTCTAATATATTTTTAGTTTTATATTATATAAAATATTAAAAAATTATATTTAAAATTGAATGTCAAAAATATATTAAAGCATTAAAAAATAATTAAATGAATAAATTCAATTACCACTAGAAAGAGAAGATTCATTTGTCAAGGTGGATGATACTGGTGTTGTAGAAGTAAGAGTAAATAATTCATGTCTTTCACGTTTCCTTTTCTGCAATTTTTCTCGCAAACTGTTTCTTTTTATTTTAATTGCCTGTATCTCTTCAAAAGCGTCTGACATATCTTCGCGATAATATTTGTAAAAGAAATATTATATATATAATAAGTATATGAAAAATAATATCAAAAATTAAGTTTAATAAAAATTTAAAAAGTTATTTTTTACATTCCAATGAAAAGAATTGATATTTACTTTTTAATATCGATAAAAGCAATCTGAAATATTTAAGAGTATATTTCTATTTAAAAATTTCAACATATATAAAGTGTTAACGAACATTAACACTTTACAATACGTAACCTAACTTGATCTTAACAACTTAAGTAACCTAACTTTAACTGAAAAATTAAAAACACATGACTGATTTGTTAATTTGATAAGTACTTGAAGAAAATAATAGATAGTTGTTGTAACTAAGTTTGTACATAATAATTCTATTCTTAAGAATTTTGTTTTATTGTAAATGATAAGATGTCAAATACAAAAGAATTTTTTCTTTCGGTTACACAACGTATTTTTAGTAACTGGACTGCATTAAAAGTAAGTATTTATTTTTTGGAATTTACAATATGATATATACACGTTCTTGATGTATATTATTTTTTATAAAATATTTTTTATTAGATGGCAGTAGAACATGGAATGGGTATAAAGGAAAGAGCAATAGATTTCTGTCCATATATGACAGAGGTTATGTATATGAATGGTTTGTATTTTCGTCTCATTCATTTTCATATTATACCTCAATTATTTTTATAATTGATTTTTTATTTTATTTTTATCTTTAGAGGGTTTAAATACCAATGAAATTGCTAATGAATTGGAAGATTACATGGATGAGCATTTTAACACAGAACTTCAAGATAATAGTGCAATGCAAGTAGCAGAAGAATTGTTAAGATTTTATCGTTATTGTATTGAAAATAATGAAAATTTGGCAATGACAGAACTTGAAAAGTTACCACCATTACAATCATGGATTATAACAAATGAACCTATAAAAAAAATTCAAAATTCATATGCTATAGAAAATGATAGTTCTGAAAATGAAGAAGAAACATCTGTTTGTATGAAAGTTGCAGATGAATGGACAGAAGTAAAAACTAGACGAAAAAGATAACTAATATTTGATATTTTAAAAGGTACTTTTTTTTATTTTTTTCCCCTTTTTTTTTTTTTTTTTACAAAAGAACAGATTAACAAAGAATATATAAACTACTGTTTTACAGTACATGTGCATTTTGTAATTGCAATGTATTCTATAATTTTGTAACCAATCACTTATCTAAGCAGTCTTTGGAACATTGTCAAAGTTTATTTGGCAGTTTCAGTTATTATTTCTAAAGAAATAAAAAAAGTACATAAAATGTTAATAAATATTTTATAAATGATTTTTAATATTTCATAAAGTATTACCTTTCTCACTTTGAGATAAAGGAACATTACAATATCCATTCTGTTCTTTTACAACAGTTTCATTTTTTTCTTTTTTTATTCTTTCTTTAGGACCTAATATACTTAAAATTACTGGTAAAAATAATAATCCATGAAACAGACCAAATATCACTACACAAGTAAATAACTGAAAAATTTTTATACACAATTAATTTCATAACAAAAATTTTTAATAAAAAAAGATAAAAAATTTTCAAATAATACCTTAAAAAAAGTATTGAAAAGATAAGCATCACTAGAACCTAGTAAAACAAATGCTAAAAATGTACTCAAACCTCCATTAAATACAGCTGGACCAATAATAGAAAGTGTTTCTATTGCACGTTCTATAAAAATTAATTAATTGTTAATTTAATAATAACTTAATTATTTTTTTTATAAATTTGACACAAGAAAAGAAATTATTTACCCTTTTTGCTGCCTTTTGCACGTATAAATTCTAGTCCCATATGTGCGGCATAGTCAACTGCTAGCCCCACACATAACAGAATCATAATACTTGAGGACATTTCAATAGTTAAATTCAAAAAATACATAGTGCCTAATAAATCAATAAGCGTAAAAAATACGCAACAAATCACCCAAAATGATGCTTGTAAATTTCTAAGAAATATCAATATTACTACTCCAATGGTCAGAATTTCCAAGCCTAAATTCCTAATCAATTCTTCCCCTATGACCTATGAGAAAATTATAATTAATTGAAAAAAAAAAATGAAAAAAAGAATCAGGATCTTTACTTTATTTGCTGTCCATGAAACATAATCAGGAGAAAAAATTGCTATATAATCATGTCCATGAGAAAAATTTATCGCCTGAATTGACTCTCTGATAAGTTGCATTGCTTGTATTTGTTCCGATGTTGTATTGATCATAACATGTTGAACAGGAATTTGTGATGTCTGAGGTAAATAAAATTATTGTTAAATGACAGTTTATATTTAACAATCTATTGTAAATGCACTTCGTAATTCGTCATTTTTCTATAAAAATATTTTATACGATAGCTGTTTGAAATTCTTTTTACATCTATAAGATAACTGGCGTTTACAATAGATTGTAATAATCAGTATATATTATATAGATAGACGTTTATTAATACCGTTATGTTATATTCTCCAGCCGGTAATTTATCGAAATTGATATCCTTAATATATGCTTGACCTTCCTTCGTCAGAAGTAAATATTCTGTCAAAATGTTATAATATTCTTCGCTGCTATCTATATCGCCTATAATAAAGTATTAACAATTTAGTTATTCTTAAGTGTCTTATTTTGTATATAAAATAAAAACTTACCTTTATCAGTAACATTAAGCCATTTTTCATAAGCAATAAACCATGGATCAAGGGTATTATTATTAATAAATTTATTGTGTTTTAAAACTTCTACCAGTTCAGAAAGAGATTTACGATCTTCATAATAATCTATGCCAGTCATATAAATCCCTACTCGTTTTCCATACTTTGGAAAATATTGCTTTAATTTATCATTAAATTGGATTGGATAGGAATCTTGATTTAAATACCAAAGAGGATCGAAATTTTGTTCCAATTGAAACACTGCCCATGTATTAACGCATAAACAACTGGCAGTGATTAGCAGAATAATTACTTTTGTTGTAGTCTTGGTGATACCTGGACCGATATAATTCTCGAAGATAATCTGTTGCGTGTTCCTTTGGCTACATTCGTTGGGTTTCCAGTTTAATTTTGGTCGACAGAAGCAACCATCCTTGCGGGCTTCGAGTCTTTTTTCATCATATACAAGACAACTTACGAAGAATATGATTTCATATATATATAAAAATAGAATTCCTAATGTGGCGAATGCGTAGAAGGATCTTAGTGTCGGCATCACAGTTGTAATACCGAAAGCAAACGCAATTATGTTTGTGAAAGATGTCACTGTGATTGACATTCCTTAAAAGAAAAATAAGAGATAAAAATAATATTAATACGTATTAAAAATAATATCACAAAATATAAGATCGTACCAGCCTGTTGAATAGCTTTAGCAATACGTATAGGAATTGCTGCGGATTGATCTGTTTCAGGAAGATTTACCAGACTTTGCATAATCACAAACATATTATCGACACCTATGCCAAGCAACAAAAATGGAAGAATGGAATGTATAGGACCATAAGAATAACCCAAATAATAGCATACTCCGTAAGAGGATAAAATTGCCTGACCAACCACAAACACTCCCATTATTGATAGATAAATTCGTTGTTCTAATGCGTTACATTTACCAATCATAACCATTACATAGACCGCAATCAAAGATATTCCACAACATAATACTGTAAGATTACTATTTAATATTTGATGTAAAGAATCTATGTAACTTCGTGAAGCTATCGCATATATCTCCATTCCTGGAGGAAACGTGATATTCGAATGGAGAACTCGATTTATGAACTCTAATTCCCAGTTGGCCGAGTTCGGATTAGATTTTTTTAACATCCAATTCAAAATTGTAGCATTGGCGCCTTTAATCCGACCTTTTTTGTCATAAATAATACCGGAGAGCAGAGGCGTAATATCTAATAGAATATTATCGTTGATCCTACAACAGAATAAACGTAACATTTTGAAAGATAGTTCGAAGATATGTTTAATTGGAAACTCACTTGTGTTTGATTGCTTTGGTCACATCCTCGAGCACCTCTTTTTTTGTCAAATTACGAATATCCTTCATTAAACTAGTTTCCCAAAGTTGTATGATGGACTGATATATACATCCATTTTTTTGTATCTTATCCTTAAATTCTGCCAGGCTGGATCCAATGATCTCCTCGAAGATTTCGGTCGTATTCTCCACATTGAACCATGTGAAATATCTATAATTCAGTGAGAATCTTATCTACAATTCAAATCAAGAACAAGATATTACAAATCAAACTAAAAATAATTAATTTTTGTTACCCTGCACACACATCTTCCCAGGTACTATTATTTACCACGATAGATTTTACTGCTTGCTCTATTTTGCTAATCTGAAAAGAAAAAAAACACGATTCAACAAGTGACTTAATCTCTCAGAGATTCCAGCTCACAGATTCCAAATGCTAGGTAAATCTCGTGAGTCTTAAGAAATTTTTGACAAGAATCATGCGTTAAAGTGGAAAAGAACCTTCATAGATACTCGTATAATTCATGATCGCCTATGTACCGAGCGCAGCACTTCCGGCTCTAAAACGTTGGGGGCTGTGACGATGATACTTTCGTATCGGAAATCGTCCCGGAAGTGTGTCTTCACCCAGGCGGCGTCGTTACGTATTATGGAATCTTCGGGCACGAAGAGCTCGATATCGTCGAGCTCTTCCCTCCAGAAAATCAGTCCAGGCGCGCAGATACAATTTATGCAGAAACATACCAGCAACCACAGCCAGGGTCGTTTTCCAATACTTAAGCCAATACTAAAAATCACGATATTTTATATTAAATTTTCTATGTGGTAAAGTATAATAAGAACAGTAGTATTTATATAAAAAAAAAAATTTCTTAATGCAAAAAAGTTTTTTTCATTGTATTTTATTGAAAAGGCATTTTTTCTTTTTTTCTAGGCAAAACCATGGAACAGTGTCATTTGAGAAGCTTAAGATAATTTTATGCAATGTTGCGTTAAGGTATATTCTCTATCAGCAAATATAGTTTTCGTAGCGATACATTGAATAAAATACAAACTGCTTCAATTTTAAAAAAAATTTCAATACATAAAATATAACAATTTAGATGGATCAATTTAGAAGAAATAAGTTTAGCTGATTTTTAATTCAGATATCGTATGATATCGTTTAATTAATAAATAACGAATGACTAAGTGTAAAAAAAATTCGTTCGATATAATTATCTAATAAGGGCAACGATACTTAAATGAAATATTAAGAAAATACAAAGGGTAGCGCCAGAGGAACCGTTGGCCTAATATAGGCCACTTCGTGGAACGAAAGCGACCATCCTTGATTCAACTAATTAAGAGGGTCGCGATGATCTCACCTTAAGTGGATTAAATTGCACAAGGTTCAAGCCCCGAAACTTGACCACCGTTAATGTCATTATTCTACAATGAGATTTATTATGTTTTCATAGTTCGATCAATTGCCTATTGAAAACACATGCTACGACGCGTGGAAGTTGATTGATCATAATTGCAATTCGAGCAACAATCACGAATTTCATTTGAATCGAATGAATCATTTGAATTCATGAGGGATATTTCAATGTGAAAAACTTTAAATCAATGAGTAATTTTTACAGAGATTTAAATTTCTTATTACGCTAATGAAAATATATCCTTGTCATAGTTTGGATTGTGGCAATTAACTTTTCAGTATGAGATTATCAATAAAGTACATTTCAATGTCAGTTATTTAAAACGGACTGAAAACGGAACATTTCAATGTACAGTGTAGAATTAAGCGCAAATTCAAAATTCAACGGAGAAACGAAGACATATTTCCAACATAAAGAACATAATTATATTTAATTTACCGAAATTTGATCAATTTTTTCCTCTTTAACAATTTTTTCAATTGTAAACAAGAAGAAAAAAAACTTTAAAAATAAAACCAACAATATGAATCAAGTAATTGTTTGTGAAAAAAAGCTATGCATAGTTATTTTTATCAAAATATATAAAAAAGAAAACAAAAAAAAAAGAAAAAGAGAGAGAAATCAATCTTAAACAACTGTAAAATTAAAATGTTTCTAAACAAAAATATTTTCTTAAAAATAATCTACTCACCGATAAAACATACGATCTGAATTTAAATGAAGATCTAGTAACAGATCTTTCAAGCGTTTCCACATGTTGTTGGCGTTTCTTCCTCGATGTGATTCCATCCTCGCGCTCAAGTTGTTCGATAGTTGAATGTCCACTGTAGAAGAACGTTTGTAAGCACACAGCCGAGTATGGCAGCATGCATGTGACCAACGTTGGAAGTAATCTGCCACAATTATATAACGTTCGGACCGAAGCTTCGCTTGCACGATCGCGGCTGATGCCATCGGGAGGATGAGGAGGAGCGTGGACGTCAGTCACCCCTCCTATTGTCTTCGTGAATGCTCATTTAGGATGTTTCTCAACATTTGTATTCATTCAAGATATACGCAATACAATTTTTCAAAAAAAAATCATGAGATCTTTTTTTTCTATGCTAAAAATGATAATCTTTTGTATATTTTCAAATAGAAAAATATAAGAATTTGTTGATTGAAGTGTTCAACAGAGAACTTTTTATATTCTTGAGATTATCTAATCATGAATAAAACAGAGGTGTGATTTATATGAGATGATTAGCATAATTGTGGGTAATGTATCAAGAGTGTCGGGAAAGAAAATTGGCTGTATTGAAATTGATTTCATGGATCAGATGGTGTTCATTGTTTCTTTTATAATAGTCTTTTCTTTTTTTTTTCTTCAAAAAATTAATGTAACGATATACTGGTATTAATACAAATATGGTCAAAATAATTTTTATTGAATATAATAGCTGAGGTCGAGAAAGAATCATATCGACAATATCGTTGCCATGAACGAATTCATTCGAAAGCTAACGCAAACAAAATGTTTAAACTACCGTTTGATTTACTTGTATTTCAACAGAAATTGCTTGATGGTTACCTTACCTGACGCTCATATCCAACGTTTAGAACAGCATAGCACCAATTCTAACTGGTCGACCTACTTATTCCATTAATTAACGCTTTTCTTTGAAAGTTTACGGCTACATGATGTAAAAGTCTTCACTAAACTGCAAATTAAAAAAAAAGAAAAAAAAAAAAGTAAGTAAACTTGCAACATAACCAAAGATACAAAATTGTCTTACAAACAACGTTGATAGTTATACGATGATAACAATCGATTTTCCATGATTGATAACACGTTCATATTCTTCACGGTCTATGGGCACAGTCTATGAGTCGATTGACGAAAATAGTGCAACGGATCCGACTTATTAATTTTCTCACAACAAACGAGCATTAAGTCTCTTCTTTCAGACCGTTATTCCCATGGTGCACAACTATACGACTCTTGATCTACGTTCGCGGTCGAACGATTGCAGAAAAAGTTATTGATCAAACGGTAATTGCGGAAGAATCAATGTTTCCCAAGGATGTCTTGAATTCCTTGAAAATTACACAATTTTGCATTTCGTTAATGCTTTTGCTCAAGAGAGTCTATACATGATCACAATAATAAAATAACACGTGATCTTATAATATCTTTGGAAATTTTTCTATCTATATTATTTTAATATTTTATCACAATTAAGTAAACAAGAATAAGATATTTTCATTCATTAATTTAGGTCACTCCTGTCATCAAACGATAGAGAAACCATAATCGATTGAACCCCACTTATTCAAGAACAGTTTGCATTCTTTACTCGATTTTCACTCACGGTTCACTTTCTCCTGGAACATTTGTGACAAAAGAGTAGAGACCATTGTCAAGGAAAAGGAACGAAATGGTTCGCGAGATCACTGAACAAAATGAAAGGAATACACACGTTGGTTAACAGCAATTTCGTCCAGGTAATAAACGACAAGGGGACGGGTTTATAAGCTTGCAGAGAAGGTAGGGAGAGTCGAAGTGAATGGCTTTCTCATCGTGGATCTTCAGTATTCCTGGTTCCAGTCGGACCGATGGATGGTCTCCTCTTGTACGCTATTTGTTATAACAGCTGAATCTGTCAAGTCGGTGTTCAATGTAATTAAGAAATTTGTGACGAGACGAGAAATTTAGTGCTTGAATTATTGAAACATCGTTACATCGTACAATTGTAAGTAAAATTCCAAAAATTTTTATTTGTTTCTAATTAATTTTCGATCGAAGATATTTAAAATGCGATATATTTTTCAAAATGTTTTTTTTCAATTGGTAATAAATAAAAATTATTATTTATCTAATTATTATCTAAAATTATGGATAAAGCTATAAATAAAATATTATTAATAAAATTTATATTTCGTTTTTAATTTATGATGACAAATATATATATATATATATATATATGAAAAATCATTAAAATGAACAATAGCAATTAAAAATATCATGGCTATATTTTTATTTTTTATTTAAAATTTCATAATTAAATAATTATTTTTATGGTACTTGACATTTCTATTTCTTTTGTTCTTATGAATCTTATAAAAAATTATGCACTTAAAACCCATTCTAATTTATTTGTGTTGTAATGTATTGTAATGTTAGTTTGCTTTTCATTGCCGACATAAGACACGTTCCATGAATGGTGTCAATAGTCCTTGTCAACCAGTAAAAAGAAATCAAGGCGTTTTTTTGAATTTCGGCCAATCGCTGAATTTATAATGAATTAACGGTTTTTAGAAAGTTCCACAGGATAGAATTTTACTAAAAATTCTAAGATGAAAATTAAACCATTAATGACCATTTTAAACAGCAATAAAAATGAATATCAACAGCTCATACATTTAAATTCGTATAAAATAATTCCAGAATCAATCGAAAATGAAATGGATAGACGTACTAGTTTCTTATATGAAAATTTCTTTGACAAAAGTTGAAAAAAAATTGATCTTAAACAAGAAGAATAATATGCAAGTGTAGTCATTTTCTCTCAATGATTTTTTCTCCACTATTTTAGTCAAAAATGTAATTTCAAAAATCATAGTTTATGTATAATAGATATGTGATATGTGATCTATGTCTTCTGGTAATGTCTCGATTCATAATTCACCGGTTTATTTCATGAAATTCAAATAGAAATGTTTTATAGATTTATTTACGATTCTCTTTCTTATGAAAGATTTACGATTTTGAAGCAATAAGACTTCCATGATAAATAAAAAAGAATAGTAGATATATAATTTTAATGACGTGACAAAAGAAATATCTTTATCGGGAAGCGATTAATGAAAACGTGTTTCATATCAGCGTGATTATGTTCACCTTGACCGAAGAAAGTGTTACGCTGGTCTTTAACCCATGTCGATCGATTCATCGATGAATGTACAATCGATCTACTTTTCCATATATTTCAATTAAACTGCAAAATGAAATATTATATAATATTAATTCTAAGATTAGCTCAATGATTAATTATCGTAACAAATATATATTTATATGGAATATAAATAATAAAATTAAAATTTTTATAACTCGTTCCTTTCTTTTCGTTGGCCAGCGATAGAATGATAAAACGACAAAACGCTTCCAAGTATTAATTTTTTTTTCTGTTCGTTAGTCAAGTTAATTACAATTATTGAAATTAATTAATTACTTGAAATTATTAATCAATAAACTCCTTCTAAAAGTTTTTGTTATTCATACGAATTTTGCTAGAAATAATAAATATATACGTTATTCTATTTTTATTCTAAAAATTCGATTTTGAAAAATGTTCAAAAGTTAGTAGATTTACCATTAATTCCAGAATCATGAACCTGTTGGCAACGATCTTGTTGGTCCTCGTGGTAGGACTAGTCAATGGTCAATTAAACTTCGAGGGTAATCCGTTGACGGAAAACACCGAGTACACGGCCGTGGAATCACGACTCTTCGAAACTGCAAGACAAAAAATGAGAACAGAGAACATTACGAATATTGCGACAGAATCTTCTCAAAAGTTTCATCTTTCATCATCGGCCCCAAATGTTAATAATTCGACCCAATCCGCAAATCCGATAAAAATCGATGATCATGCAATCATCCAAAGAGATTTATATAATTTGTCGTATCCATCGAAACAAGAGAAGATCGTTCAAACAGGTCGACATTTGTCTACAAATACCAACAATCAAGGAATCACCTCCAAGGCTCAAGTAGCGTTGAACACTTTTCTAAATTCCAAAACGCCAGAAGAGTCGCGGCTGTCTTTAGATCATTATTTACGAAGCAAAGAAAATATCAAGAACGTCGAACCAATAGTCGCTAATGAACAACAATTAACGCAACAATTAGTTAATCAGCAACCCATATCCTCCTCGGTGAATCAACATTTGACTGCACAACTTATGCAACAAAGACAGACATTGCAACCTTTTCCAGTTAATCAACCGACCTACAATTCGCCTGTGAACCCGATAGATATTCATTCGGCTATATCAAATCCAATATCTATACCTTTAATGCAACAATCGTACGCGCCTGGAATTCAAGCGAGGAACGATGTCTTTTATCCTGGATGGTATCAACGTATGAGAAAAGTGCACGGAAAACCGTTCCTTATGCACAATCTAGGGTTGGATCGGGGATATATGTTGGTCCTGTTCCTCCAGGTGAGACATTTCGACCGTGTTTTCGTAATCCTTGAAATCTCGTGTCACATATGAAAAGAGGTCAAAGTACTTTATATAATAATTTAATTTATTTCATTGCAATATTCTGATTAAGCATCTTATTTCTATTTTATTTCTATTGAAACTTTCAACTATCTCGAAATGTTAACCATAGTAGGGAAACAGGTTTAGCAATCGAGAGTTACATCGTTCAGGAAACTTGTTTTAATGCAATTCGCATTGTAAGAACTTCTTAATTAGAGGATTTGTGAGAATTTTCTTATTCAATGCAATAATTGATTATTTTCACTTGAGATTAAATAAAAATTCATTTTAATCAGTAGGTAATTAATTTTGCAATCAAATTTCTTAAGCAGTACCGTTCAAGCAGAAAGGCTCACCTGTTGAAGTGATCTACACGAAGCCACCAGGATTTCATCGTGGTCCACCAATTATCAACAACCATCCTATCCCATATGAAGACGCTGCTTGGTTCCCCGAAGTTGATCATCCACCGTCATCGAATAAAGATATCTACTATTCTCAACTATACGCCCAATCGTACGATCCTTATTATTACAATTATATCGCTAAAACGGGAAAGATAAAACCTCATTTGTATGGAAAATTGGGTAAGTATCACGAAGAGGAAGACGATGGTATTTGGTCAGAATTGTACCAAGGATTCAAGAAACACGGTTTAAAAAATATTATGACACCAACGTTCCTCTTGGGAATGACTCTTCCCGTGGTCACTCTAATGCTCACTGCGCTCGTGCAGAAAAGATCCTTCGCTAGGTCGGATTCGAGAAAATTCTCGACACGAGAGGAGACGATCCAAGATTATCTGGAACAAGTTCAAAGAGCTGTAGAATGTTATGAAAAGAAAAGAAGGAAGAGAGACACGAATGTAGATGAGTGTTAGAGTTATAACTACCTTTAATTCCATTAATTTATTAAATACGAATGGATGATCAAAGAAATGGAGAGGACGTCTTATGTACATACCTTATGTAATATAAAAAAATAATAATGAGGGGAACATTCACAGGATTAACAAGAATAGAGATTGTTTTCTCTTTGAAATAATTCTTTGCATTGCAATCGATGATTTATATCGTGTGATTAATTAAATCGTTAAATCGTGGTACTACGAGATATCAAATGGAAGAAGGTGACAGTGAAACGTTTTCCGTGATGAGAGTGGACGATGCGAGAAACCAACTTTCGCGGGTCAATTATATCTGTGACCCTGTTCGCATTTACGTACGTGCTCGTGGGTGTGCAATTTGTATATCGAGATAGCGAATTACTTTTACTTTTCCATAATAAATTGTTCGATCAAATGAATTTTCTAGTAGTAATTAAATTATAGATGCATACATATACATGTATAAATAGAGAACGAGATTGGGAAATACAAAAATATTAAAATTATATTATATTATTGTCTATTTTTTTAATTCCTTTGATATATCATACTTGAAATATTTTTCTTTCCTTTCTTCTCTTCTCTTTTAAGTAGGAAAAGACGTTCAAACGGGCAGTGATCTTCGACCTATATTTTAGTATTATGTGTACTCTGACGAGTGCTGAATTTTAAATTAGAAATGACATCCACGATTTGTTGCACCGCAAATCGTGCATCATGGCACAGAAATGGATAACCGGTTTGATTATTTATTGGGTGGATCGTGCAAAGTGTTACGCATTGATTTCGATGAAATTTTAAACGAAATTCTATTGTGAATTATTTAATATTGCATCTTTCGTTGCTTCTTTACTTTTAAATTCACTCAAGATTTCTTTTCATTTTCAACATTTCTTTTATATCTTCTAAATTATTAAATTGCTATAAAGAAAATGATCCAATTTATTGAATTTTAATTTTCTACGATTATTAATTCCTATTAATATGAAAACAATATTCATAAATGATCGACCAGTAAATGTATCGATCTTATTTTTATTGAATGTTATTTATCTTGTACAAACAATTAAATCCTTTTTTTCGTTTAATCTCAAAATATTAAGGTCAATTTTTAATCTTCTTCTTTATCAATATTAAATATGATAATGGAATCATTTTTTTTTTTATTATAAATTTTTTACTACAAAATGATTTCTTGAGATCGATGATTATTTGAAAAATATATTCGTTATGTTTTTATTCCGTTCCGTTATGCTATGACATAACTCGAATACACGATGTTGATTAGTAATGTGACGATAAGGTCAATTACGATAACTCGACCATTAATGAACTCGTAAATTAAAATCATATGGAATAAAGCGACTCGTTTGGTATCCGAGAAAAAGCTTATGCAAACTTCATCCCAAAGAAATCTCGGTCGATTTCTTCTCTTGCCGGAAATGCCTGAATGTACATAGAACCGTTCCACTTAACCTGTTGAATTTTACTAACATGGCTGTTAGGATATATTCTTAAACTTTTAAAAAAGGCGAGACACCCATCGAATCTTTGGATGACATTGAAGTAGCAGACATACTTATTCAAAACCGGTTTTCAAACTTGCACTCCAAATGATAAAAATCTAGTTATTTCTTTATCGGTATTAATATTTTTTCATTATTTAATATGAAATATTATTTCTTTTCTTTAAAGCTTTTTCGTTTATATATTGATAATAGATATAAAATCCATATATATATATATATATATATATATATATATATATATTATTTTTT